ATATATTATATTTGCAGAGTTGCTGACAATTTGTTAAGCTCACCCATCTTCTTCTGTTTCTAGCAATGTGTTCCCAGAAGGTCTTCCTCCATCGTATGTATTTGTTTCCACCCAGAGATTTAAGGTCAAGAAGGTGTGGGATTTATGGAGAATATTAACTATCCATGGAAAGCCACAAATAGCAGTTACCTTAAATGGTGTGGACCAAACCTTATCATTTACAACAACTAGCATAATTAATGGCTCACAAGTGGCCACATTTACTGACCCTCAAGTTAAGGTAAAGATGTTCAAGCACGATAATGTTATTTATAATCATGAGAAAACACCCTTGCTTTTGTGTCTGTTGAGTGAGGGAATTATAATTTTAACATGACTTCATATCTTAGTGATGTTGATTTCATATTTTAATACTTCCTTATTGAACAAAAACAATGGAGGAAGGTGAATTTGTTTCTTATTTAGAATACTGACAAAAGGCAAGGTAAATTAACATATTTTGAGTACCTACTACTAGGTGATAGGCCCATTTAATGATAATAACCATCTAACAAGTAAGTTATTGCTCCCATTTTGTAGACAAAAGAAATCAATGTTCAAGGTTAAGTAACACTCATAAATTGACATCAAGAATTGGATTTAAGTTTGACTTTAAAGTTCATCTTGATCTGTTTTCTACTGCCATATATATAAAGACATATCTTTTAAAATATTAAATATCTGGTAGATGATAGGTACAGAATTTACCTTCATTATATTTTATTTCCCAAAAAAGGAATATAAATCTATATTGAATACAGTAAATTTTAATACTTTATTTTCTAAGTCATGTGTTCATAATAGAGTTGTAGTGATGGTAGCAATTGTTTTGCTCATTATTATAATTATAATATGCTACATTAGTGTAATATGGGAATATTCATAGTTATGAATATAATATGGACATAGTCATAGTTATATATGAAAAGTAGGTATTTATGTAATTTCCTCACTCAAAAACATTAAATTAAAAAATTATGGTCTGCTATACTCATTAGATATTAGGTTCTTTAAGAGATAGCAGTCATGATCTTATTTATAATGGAAAATACAAATGATTGACATCAAATAAAAACACAAAATGCAGTGGAGGTTGTTTGGGAAAATCTGTTCTGGCACAAAAGGTGGAATAGTCTTTGCAAATGAAATAACTTGTCTGGACCTTGAAGGATACAGAGAATTTCAATGGGGAAAGCTGTAAGAGCACATTAAATCAATGATTCAGCATTGAGTAGTAGCAAAATGGATTCTTTTGTTTAAAGAATATGCTTGGAGTACATGATGTTCAGTGGAAAAGGCTGGCAGGGAAAGAGCCCAGTGTGTGCGAAGCCTGAAAGGCCACACAATTGGCCTGGACTTTATTCAGTGGATGTCCGGGCTCCATCAAAACTCTTGACCATAGGCACGTCACAGTCAGGCAGTCCTCCCGTCCTCTTCTGATCCTCCTTTCATAAACAGTACTTCCAGTGTTGTCTAGCGATTACGCCAGATTCTGGGGATACAGAAAAAAAATGAACATCTCCTCTAACGCAACTCTGGTGGAGATAGACTAGATGGCTTGAGAAGGAAGCTCAGAGACAGAAATATGTTTGAAATTAAAGCAGAATACACACAAACCTAAATTATGGCAGTAAAATGGAAATGGCTAAGGGAGTTAGAGTCACATTTGAGAGACTCTTGATGGGATTTTGCATCTGGTGAATTATTACAACTCAGGGAAAGAAATGTGTTTTAGAAAAAGAAGATACTATTATCCAAGGGAAATAGGGAGGAGATGAAGAAAGCTCAAAGGATGCTTCAAGTTCATTTTGTCACATACCGTATTAAACTGATTGTGAGACATCCTTGTAAACTTATTCTAGCCAGTATTAGAACTACAAGGCCAGTGTGTGAGAGAGAGGTCTGGGCAGCTGATGTAGATATGGGAGTTACTGTAGAGAATTAATGAGTGGTCTGTAGGAATGGATGGATGTGTCAAAGGGCAGAATGGTAATGATAAGGACAGACCTGTGAGGAGTGCCCTCATGGAGGGAGGCAGGTGGAGGTAGAGGAGTCCTCTGGAGATAGAGAACGAGCAATCTGAGAGGATAACATGAAGACAACCAAGATGGTTTGAATTGTGGAAGTTGATTGAAAATAGCACGAAAGATGGACCACAGTAGTCACTGGATCCAAAGTTACAGTGAATCAGTGAGGTGAGGAATGCGAGAAGCTATTTGGATTCAGAGATGAGGATATCATTTGTGACTTTAGGGAAGTTGCTCCAGTAAATGGTTTGACACAATGACTTTGGCATACATAATAGGAATTCAAATGGGGATTGATAAACAAGTTGGTGGGTAGCATATAAAGGCCAGCTTGGATCAAGGTGAAGTAGTGTATACTACAGGAAATTTGTTGTCCAAATTTTTCTTAGAAGTGTTGAGAGCAAGAGAGCAGAAAGAAAGAAAATAAAAGATCATTGCTTATTTTATTTATAATTTTTTCATGTTTTTTTCCCCCTGTAGACACTATTTGATGAAGGATGGCATCAAATTCGTCTCTTAGTAACAGAGCAAGATGTAACCCTGTTTATTGATGATCAAGAAATTGACAACAAGCCCTTACATCCAGCTTTAGGGATTTTCATCAGTGGGCAAACCCAAATTGGAAAATACTCTGGGAAAGAAGAAACTGTTCAGGTAGAGAAATAGTAATCTGGCTTTTGCTTTGTGTAGAATGCAGCTTTGGCTGTCCTTTGTAATAGGCTGCATTGAATGTATTTAAATTAATTATGAATTCTCTAAGGTATTTAATCAAAATGTAATCAGCTTATGGTTGAAATTGTGTGTTGAAAAATGAAAAATGGGAGTTAATCTATTTTCTAAGATTACTGAGAAAAGTTTTCTTCTGGAGAGAGGAGGAATTCTAGGAAATATTAATTTTATATTTCCTAGGAGAAACATAGTTTAAATAATGAACTTAGAAAAGGGAGTATAGTTAGAACTCTAAGTGAGGGCTATAAAAATTTCTTTGTAGCTGTGGGGATAAAAATAGATTAATGCATGCCAGAGTTCTTCACAAACAAACCTGTTATTTAAAAACAAAGCAATTGTGGCATGTTCAACTCATACTTTAAAAGTTTTTGTTTTGACTTTTTAAACTTTTAGTTAAGTTAGAGTATATTTGTGTTTGGGTTGAGTAATGTGTATATAAAAGCCATTTCTAGAAAAATCCTTTATTGGAAAAAGTATGTCCCTCTTGTACTTTTTCTTTTAAGAGAAGACTCTATCACATTCAAATTTGTGACTACACGTGTGGTCAGATACATATAGATGCTGCATGTCGAATTATTGTAAACATTAAAACAGTAACAGGAACTGATCCTATCATCACACAGCATTTAGAGCCAAAGATAGTTTCTTGAGCCCACAACATGTGATCAAGATTGTTGTAGAGATTAGGATTAACACAGAAAACCAAGGAGAACTTTTAAGTGTCCAAGGAAATGCTCTCTAGACTAGCACTTCATACAAGGGTATGAAAAAAATATTTCACTGGATTCTTGAAGAAAATCAGAGATTTGTTCTTGGTGCTTGGAATTTTCACCTTAGGAGTTATGTTGTGCCTCATATAGGCAACACATATTTAGATATTCAAATTTGGTGTTTTTATCGTGTTAACTAAATGCTGTCGTTTAAACCTTGCACAGTTACTCACCATAGTGGCTGTTTCTACCTATCTGATCTGCTCTATGAAACAGTTAGCATGTGCCTCAGTTTTACCTGTATGTCTATTCCTAGTTTGATGTCCAGAAGTTGCGGATCTACTGTGATCCAGAGCAGAACAACCGGGAGACAGCATGTGAGATACCTGGATTTGTAAGTAGAGTGGATCGCTTCCTTCCAGGTGTTGCTTTAGTCCTTCCAAAGCACTGAAGAGCAAATAATACCTAAGTATTATTTAATGTACAGAGTTAATTTTGATTTTTATTGTTAAGGGACACAAACTTACATGGAAGAAATGTATTTTGAGTTGCAGACTGAAAGAGAATGACGGTACATCATTGTGAAAATGAGAAGGAAAAAGCAGAAGGGAATGGGGAAGCAGGGCTGGACCTTATCCAGAAGAACATAGCATGCTTTGCTTTGTCTGAATATATCAGTGTGTGAAATACATTTCTAGATTTAATTCAGTGTAGGACAGAACATCCCAAATTGCATGGTTCTGAAGAGTAGAAAGTAATTTGATCGTTCACCAGCACTTTTCTTAAACTATAATGTGTATTTTTCTTTTTGTTCTTGTTATCTAAGTAAGGTTTTCTTATAGTTTTAGAATATAAGAAATATTTCTTTTTATTCGGCCATTTTAATGAATGTGTAAGGAGGCAAATGAGGATAAGATAAATGTTCTAGCATCTGGTTATATATGTGTATATGCATATAATTAATTCATTTTCCCCTGGGCAAAATATGGTGAATTGTTTTTAACAGAAATAAGGTAGAATGTTGGAAAACTTTTTGAGAATGTACTTTCTCAGCGACATTTGATCTGCCCTGATTCTTTTAATTTTCATAGTCATGCTGTCACTTTCCTGGTTTCCATCAAACTGAGTAACATGAATCTTTATGATCGGAAAAATTGAGGACATAGAACAGCACATTTAAAGGATCCATAATAAAATTAAATTAAACATGGAACCTTCTAGAAATTATTTGCTCTGGGTTTTCTAGACAGGCAATTGTTTAAATATTATAATTTCATCTTTTTACTTAGTTACAACTTGGAAACTAAATCTCTTCTAAAAGTATTAAACGGTATTGTGTTTGAGAGTCAAATGTATATGTTTTACTGAAGTCTCTGCATTGTCACATATACCCTTACCTCCCAAGAAAGAGGCATGGCTTTAGACTGCAGATTTCGGATTCTTAATCCACTTTTGAAATGTTGTTCTGCCTCCTTCCTTTCTCTTAAGTGAGAGTTCAGGTGGCTTGTATAGTTTTTGCACTTTCATTTCTGCCTACCCATTTTCTCATCTAGCTTGTTGTTGTTTGGAAAGATTATAAATACCTATCAGAAATTGTGTATTATTCAGTAAGAAATTGACAAACTCTTCTAAAGTAAAATGCACAAAATTTTGATGCACACAGTTTGTGACTTGCTCAGATGTGTCTGGTATATGTGGTTCTAAAATAATTTCTATACAGTTCAATCAAGCATATAAACTTCATTTTGAGGTGTTTTTTTTTTCCTGCATGGCTATTAATATCAAGCAGCTTTAATATTTCAATTTTTGCTGTCTTGGCTTTACTTTTATTAGTTTCCTTCCTTTATCTTTTACAAATACAGTATAACAAGTATACACACTTTTTTAAGGATAATTACAAGCAAATATTTTATTTCTTGGTTGATTTGATACTTTATATATCTTTTGTTGGGATAATTAATTATATATAAATCAGGAAGACAATCTGGAAATTAATTAAAAGCACATTTTAAAACATGTATGTTATTTTTCTTTCAGAATGGAGAGGTAGGCTTGGATACTATTAGTCTTCATAAGGTAATGTTTGCAACTATAGAACCATACAGCTTCCTATTATCAGCTGTAAGTATATTAGACATATAGAACTAATTTTTATGTAGTTTAAATGTATTTATTGCTCACATATTTTGTGATTTAGAACTTCTTACCAGATTGAGCTAAATAATATTCACTGTAAGCCATCTTTGTCACTTTGCACAGAGCATGTGTGTATGTGTGTGCATATATAATGTCTTTCCATGTTTGTAATTTATTCTATTTTTGTCTTTGCAGTGTCTTAATGGTCCCAGTGATGTAGGATCAACTCCAGCTCCCTGTATCTGCCCTCCAGGAAAACCAGGGCTACAAGGCCCCAAGGTGAGTAGCACCTAATGTAGTGTGTTTTAAAAACAAAAGGTGCAATTGAAATGCACAAAATTCATAATTACTATTGACCTTGTTGTGAAATCCTCATCTCTCACCCTATAAAAGTTTAAAATCTGGGCCAGTGATTTAGCTCAGAGGCACCACGCCTGCCTCACTAGCACAAGGTCCTGAGTTAGATCCTCCATACTACAAAACAAAACCAAAACCAAAAACAAAACAAACAAACGTTTAAAACCCATGTTTTCCTGATTTTTTTTTAAAGTGAATTCTATCTAGAACTGCCTTTTGAAACGAAACCTGATCCCTTGAACCCACATTGAAATGAAGGAGCTGTATTTGTTTTGTTCTCCCCTCCACCCCCCGCAAACATTGCTATTAGATCCCAGGGATATTTCCTTTAAACCAGGTTTCAAAGAAAAAAAGTAAAGAAAAACATCTGGAGAAATATATTTGTGCTTTAATTAATTTTAATTTTATTAGTACGTGTTTGCATACATGAAGTTTACATTCAACTTGGAGAATGGGTACATGTACATAGCACAACTTGTTACTTTTAGAGTTACATTTTTTTTTTTTTTTTTTGATACCGGGGATAGAACTAAAGTCCTTGTTCTTGCAAGGAAAGTGGTGAAACCACTGAGCTAAATCCCTGGCTGACAATTTGTTACTTTTATTAAGCCCATTCTACTTCCTGCCCGCCTCCCACCCTCCCTCCATCTCTAAATCCACTTTCTCCGTTTACATTTTTGTCATTATTATGATTCTTAGCTCATGTTTATGACATTGAATGTTCATGTTCTTACCTGTATATGGCATACCTTAAATCTTCTTACTAAATTCTTAAATGCCTAATGAGTCAAAATACTTTTAATATAGAAATCTGAAATTAAAATACAATTACATTTTTATTATTGTGAATTTAATATCCAGTGTTAAACACAGGCATGTATATGTTTATTTCACTTAGTCCTATAATCACTTTTGGAGACTATATATATGTGTTCCAGTCGTATTTACATATTTTATACAGCAATGTATATATGTGTGTTTATATTGTTGGAACCAACCTATGCATGATTGTGACTAGTTACTTTTACAATCACAATGTGGGCTGGGGTTTTAGCTTAGTGGTTCTGCAACCTGCCTCACAAGCACAAGGACCCGAGTTTGATCCCTGGTACCAATAAATAAATAAATAGATAGATAGATAGATAGATAGATGATAGATAGATAACCTGCTCTGAAGATATTCTTGTGCTATTCAGTATGAGTGACTAAGTTATTAAGTAGGTCAGTGGGTACTTGTAGCATCCCTTAGACACAGCCTGATACTTTTCTGACTCTCAGGGAGGTTCAGGAAACCCGTGTGGACTCCAAGGGGCTGTCTACCTAAGGAAGACCCCTGCGGTCTTCATTTCTGACCCCTAGATGTCCTGTAGTGCCATCTTATATTTATTCACATATACATATTTCTACAGAAGAGGTTTAGTACAACCATTCTTTTATCTGGCAAAGCCTCTAATTTCCAGTTTTTCCAAGCGTCATGTGTTTCTCATTTTCATCCTCTTTCTTAGTCATGATCCAGTCCCATTGCCACCTACTACTCTAAGTGAAATTGCAGTTTTCCACCAATCTTCAAGTTGGCGTGCCTTCTTGATCTGCTTTCCATTTTCTTCAGAAAATCTGGCAGGAAGGCAGGAACACACACACACTCTTCCATCACTGAAAGGCTCCTTCCCCTGGAGGTGGTTCGTTCCACAGGTCAGGATCTGTATACAAAAACCAGAATCCCTAGCAATATCATGGAGCGTATTTCTTTTAGAAAACTCTGGTTCTTAACCATTGGTAGGGGTTAATTAGCTAAAGAGAACCTAAACTAAAACAGCTGAGATGTTTATACATTAGGTGTCGCTGAAAATTTTGGGACATTCTTGTTAGATGCTTGAAAAAAGTTTTGAAGGGATTGATCAGTCACATGTGAAAAGCAGATCTACTCTTTCTCATAGCCAGAAATAGAGTTTTAGGAGCTGAGTGTTGTGTCATGAGACTAAAACAGAGGAGGGATGTTGGGATGGATGCATAGGTAAGTGCTTTTTCAAGATAAAGAAAGTCATCTGTTTAATGCTAAGAGTTTGAAAAGTATGACAAGCCTATTGAAAAGCCAGACTAAAATGACCGTGGTACTCCACACCTTCACCAACCATCCCAAAATACATAGGTCACTGGACTCTAGTCTATGGAAGAATGTGCCCTAATTCCAATTATATGGGATGCTTAGGTTAATGGCATAATTAATTTATTACTGTAGTAACTCTGACAAATGCAAAAGTTTCTTTTGTTCATGATAAAGGCTAATAAAAATACATTCTCCTTAGATTTTCTGGCACAGTACTTAACAGTATTAATTGTCCATTGGATAAACTAGGACCCATTAAAAAATAAGTTTCACTCCTTTCTTCTGATTAAGCTATATGGAATGTCTTATTATGAATAAAAGATGAGATAGCCCCCACTTTACAAGTAATTCCCTTTTAAATGACTGCTACATACGAATGTCATTTTCTTTCCCTACTTCTGTACTATAGAAATATTTGTCGGGACGATCTTTCCACACTTGATGTAACCTTAAATGTCAGATCTACTAGTTCAGAAGTAGAGAGAAAGCAATTTTCTTTCTTTTCTAGGATGGAACAATTTCTTAACAACTTCTTTGCTTGGGAACGTCACTTTTTGCAGCCAAGTCCCTGTTGTCCTTTGTTCACTCTGACAATTCCATCAGTTAGAGGTTTCTTTGGATGATTGAAGTATTTCCATCTAAAATACAACATTTTTTGGAAAATGCCAGGGGCCACTCTATACCAGCTTTTTATGATAATTTCTGTAGACAGAGAGGATTCTTTCTAGCCTGAAGGATGGGTATGGAAGTTCTGAGGGAGGAAGAAGTTTGGTTTTGGAGAATAGTCAAAAACAGTCTAAGATGAGATGTTCCTCACCTGGGTGGAAGTAAAATGAAGAGGGAAGAAGGAGGCACAATGACTTTTGAGAAGGAGGTTTGGAAACGTGGTTTTGGGGCTTTGGTGAAATAGTCCAAAGACGTTTGTGTTAGATGCGCAGCATAAAAATCAGCTTACCTTTGCAAGCACAACTGTTTCTTACTTTAATTAGTCATAATTATACTATGTGAGAGGCTATGTTCAGAGATGTTTTAGCTTTGCCCATAACATTTCCACTGCTATTAACAACTTAAAAATCCGGTGGCATACATTCAATTCAATGTAAGTAAGTATTCCTGTTTAGCTGAGACCATATGTTTTTTAAAATTCAAAGTGTTCCAGGGTTTCAACTAAATTAGAATAAAATGGCTTTGGAATTACATCACAGTTGTATAATAGTAGCTCATATGTCCAATTTGGTGTATTTGGGATTTTTGTTTGTTTGTTTGTTTTGGGTTTTTTTGAGACAGGGTCTCACTATGTAGTTGAGATTGACCTGGAACTCACTATGTAGACCAGGCTGGTCTTGAACTCACAATGATCCTCCTGCCTCAGCCTCCTGAGTGCTGGGATTATAGGCGTATGCCACCATGCCTGGCTGGGATTTTTTGTTAGCTTGTTTTTGGGCATCCCTAAGTTGATTCTGATAAGCATATGCATTTTAATGTGGACAGGAATAGTGGTGTCTGGGAGCATAAACTCTGGGAGTGACCTGGCTGGATTTGAATCTCATCTCTGTCACTGCTGTGTGACCCTGGGCCTTAGTCTTCCTTTATAGAAAATGGGAATAATAAAAGTACCTTCTTCGTAGCATTATTATAAAGCTTATGTACTTTTACATATGGAAATCTTTAAAGCTGTACTTGATATGTAATAACATCATGGTTAAGTATTAGCTTTACTACTAATAACATTGAATTTTTATTCTAATTGGTTTTCTTACCAACTAGCTAAAATAACTTGAGTTTTACTTTATTCTTCTAATTATATGGGAACAATGCCAAACCTGTGTGAGTTTTAGCAGGTACAATAGAAAAATAACCCACGAAGTCTACTGGCAGTAATAGAACCTAAAAAGGAGATTATTTCCTTCTTGGGGCTGTTGACATGTGCTATGGTTTTTAATGAATTCACATGATTTTCCTATGGCTGTTTTTTTCTCCTTGAGAACTTGATTTTTGTTAATTAGAAACATTAGTGTTAAATAGGTTTTATACTCTTATACAAAATAAAACATATGAGTACCATTGTATTCTGTAACAAAACTTTATTTCAGCATCATTGCAGTAGGTTAAACCATCTCAGACCCTTCTGATGTCCTGTGTTTCTTCTGATAGTATTTTGCAAGTAAGTAGGTCACTGAGAGATTTAATATTAAATAAATTAGTAAGTAGCTATTGATACTCTACTTGTTACCCATGATTGTGGGGGAGTGATAGTGGAGGGGAGAAACACAGAAAAAGGAAAAGCACAATATAGACTTTATTTTCAAGGGGCCTGCTTCTAAATGATAAATGAAGATTAACAAAGGGAAAATGTTGCAAAAATACTACTGGTAGTTGTGAGAAAAGTCATGCTATAGGAGCTGTCTTAGCAGCTCAATAGATGATACCAGAAGAAAGTAGAGTGACAAGGAATGTTCACTGATAGAGAATTTTTTCATATTGGTGCTTAGGTAGAAAGAGAAGAAAATCTTTTTCCCAAGAGAAGTAAAAGGTGATATTTGTTGAAAGGCTGTGAGTCCAGTGGAGGTGGGTAATGAAAGATGATGGGGAGGCCAGAGACTAGATGAACCTTCACACACTAAGAAGCGAGGAATTCTAAATCTCCACAGACTCCAAAGGTTGCTCCCTAACACCCAGACAGTACTGCGAGTCCTTGAATTATAACCAGACATTATCTTCCCCCTGGATTTATAGTTCTTCTTCTTCTGTGTCTTCAAAAAATGACATTTCTCATCTTCTTAGCCTTTCTTCTTGCTCAGCCCCTTGAGGGGACACTGGAAGTGAATAGCCTGTGGTTCCTAAGCAGAGTTCACATAGTTCTTTCCATTTTTCTTGTTAGGTTTCAGGAACACATCTTCTTAGCCTAGAGTCCGACACAGTTTTCAGCAAAGTTGGCTCTGTAGATATACTCTTAATCACGGTGGTCCTCTGTGGACGATTTCTTGTTAGAAAAAGAATTATTAAATGGAAATCAGCTCCTTCTGTGCAGAAGTTCACTGATACTGATGGTACACTTTATATTTTTCCGCAAGAGGCTCGCTCCATTTGGACTCCACAGACTCAAGTATAGATGCGTATAAAACTAGCTTGAAGTATTTCTTGGAATTAACTTACAAAACACCTTCACCTTACAAAAACGTGTTGGCTTGCTGCTTTCTTTTATGGGTGGCGACCATCTGAATACTCAGTTCTGGCCATCAAACTCAAGTTGTGTAGAATGTGCGTGGCCACGTTGGCTCCATGATAGGATATTGATGTGTAGGGCAGAACATTTAAAACAGGATTAAGTCTGTAGAACTATGAATCAAAGATTGCTCTCTTGGGAAGTTTATTTACTGTAACACTTGACAGTTCATTCAAAATTCCAAATATACATCCTGTCATAAATCTTGACATTTGATACCAGTAGAATTGACATTTTATACCAGTGTGCTCTCAGAGGTAAATCACTAAGCTTTATATAGTAAGAAATGTATTTGTTAAAGTAGGCTCTTAAAATACGCACAGTTTTCCTAAGCTGATTTTGGGGACTTATGTGTTTATTTTGAAAAATGATAAAAGCCTCAAATAATAGGATTGACTTTGAGCTTTCATGAGCCAGGACTGTAATAATATGGTTGGTTTCTTTATATTGAGAAGCTTTTTCTTTTTGCTGTCCAGGGAGACCCTGGACTGCCTGGGAACCCCGGCTACCCTGGACAACCTGGTCAAGATGGTAAGCCTGTGAGTACTGTAAGCTTAGTCATCTCCAGTACTGGAATTATAGTGTCAAAGTAAAAATTGCACTGGGCATAGCTCAACAGGCAAAAAAGACTTTAGTCAAAACTTTCCTAGCAGAGAGAGGCTAAATCAAGGACATTGAAACAGGGACAGAGAAGTTTTGATTCCTGGTTAAGTGAGTGGGAAAGAACCAAAAGGTTTAAGGGAAAGTGGGTCCGTGGGACAGAGCACACTGAGTTTATTCTCCATTTGCAAATGACCATCAGTTTGCTGACTGGCTCCTGTCATCTTCCCACAGACACTGGACCATGAGGGTGCTGTCTAGGAAGCCTGCCTTCCTTGATAGTTACACTGAAAACATGGATCTTGGGTCTTTGGGAAAGACAGCCTTGGGTTATAAAACTAGCAAGAGGTTACTAAAAAGATTTGCATCTCAAAGCAACAAAAGAATTTACAATTCAAAGTTTTCTAAAGTAAATTCTCTAAGAATAGGGAATTATGGGATAGAGTCAGGAGGGTGCCTGTCTGAGTTTGGCCAAGCTGAGGGTACAGTTGAAATCTACTTGGTCAAGAGAATCTGTGTTCCAGATACTTTGGTTGTCTTCAGAATTGCATATGTATTTTCTACAATTCAAAACTGACCAGCAAGTTTCAGTGTCATGAGTACCTGCTTTAAAAATACTTCTGTGTTTTCTATATATGTATATGGAAGTTTTCAATTTAAAAAATCTATTAAAAGGTGATGTTATTTTTCTAAGAATATAGACACTGAACTACATTTATTATCTCACTAAAAATAATATCCTTTGAGTTTCTAGAGGATTTGGGGACACTTTAAAGCTAACATAAATTAAAGCATTTTTAGGCAAGTAATTACATGAAGAATCAGTTTCCAGGGCCGGGGATTAACTCAGTGGTTCTGCTGCTGGCCTCACAAACACAAGGTCCCGAGTTTGATTCCTGGTACAAAAAAAAAAAAAAATCAGTTTCTGAAAGGTAAGTAATAATTGTCACTAAGAATGTTATCTTCTAAGAGACATTATCATGAGGAAGTAGGAATCTTTGTCCAGTGACTTAACAGTGTTCAAGAAATGCAAGAACCTAATATTAAATCTTCAACACATCAACCATCAAGATGGAATAGTTGCTTGAGTCCCAGAGAGATTTACTAATGGATTTTATATAAACAACAGCAATTACAACAACAAAACAGTAGCTAAATTTTGAAGATGTAATAATATACTGAGGCCTTTAATCCCACTGTTGTAGGGGAAAGGGTTTAATAAACAAGTGAGCCTTTCTAGTGGGAAATTAGGAAGAAGAGAGGCTGCACAGCTGACAAAGGGTGGCTGTAGAAAGCCAAGAAGCTGCAGTATGATTGAGGTGGCTGGGTTCAGCTGAGCCACGGAGTGATGGCAATCCAGTTAGGGACTTTGACAAAGGAAAGGACCTGAGCTTGTTTATAAATGTAACCATATCTATCATTTATGTAAAATAAAAAAGTTATGATAACATAACTAGAAAGTAGATTGCATGGGGCCAACAATGGAAGAAGGAGGCCCATCAAGGAGGTTGTTTCATGCTTCTACACGAGTAGCTTATACCAGGGTAATGTGGCAGAAGAAAGACATTGTCAGATTCTGGATGACTTTCTTATGTAAAGGTGACATGGTTGCCAGCAAGTTCACAAGTGGGGTTTGAAAAAAGAAGCTATATCAAAAAGACTTAGAGAATCTTAACCAGAGTAACTAGGTGAAAATGGTACCTTGCTTTGAGCAAGGCAGCAGGAAGCGTAGAAGCATTGTAGGGGAGAACTGAGAATGCATTTTGGACAGGTTGGTTTGTCCTGTTGGGCTCAGCTAGTGATGGATCTGAAGCCGTGAGCATGGATGAGATGGCTGGAGGCTGACTATGCACAGAGGAGAAAGTAGGCTGAGTTTAGGGCAGAATCAGGGAAAAGGGGGCTGACCTAACCATGGAAGTTAAGACAGTGTGATCTGAAGGAGGAGGAAAATAAAAAAAGTTAGGCATTCCAAGTGAGGAAAGCATTTCAAGAAGGAGGCAATCAGGTGTGTCATCCTTCCCAATGGTTGAGAAAAATAAGACTTATACCTAGGCTATTACACTTGTTCTCTGGATGTAATGTGGACCTTGATGAATAGGATTTCAGGGAGCATGGGTACAAAATATGGATGTATATTTTAGGAGGCTAAAGCAGGAAGATTACATATTCAAGTCCAGCCCTGACCATTTACTAACTTAGTGAGACCCTGCCTCAAAATTTTAAAAGAGTTGGGGATATAGCTCAGTGGGAAGGCCCATGGTTCAAACCTCAATACAGAAGAGCAAAACTGGATGATTGGGGTTCAAGAGAAAGCAGGAAGTAAAATGGTGACAGTGAATAGAGATGTTTTTCTTCAAGGGCAGTAGAGAAATGCTGTAGTAGAACAGGGCTGCTGTGGAGAAAAGCAGGGTTTTCAATATGAACAATCTCAGAGCACACATTTATGATGATGAAGTGGGGAGAAACAGAAGATATGAGAGAAAGCAGACATTTGCAGGTGGGAAATCCATGGGTAGATGGGAGGGCACTGGTTCTAGGCACAAAAGGTGAGCTTGGTCTGGATGAGGCCAGGGCAGCTGGCCTTTTATGTAGGATAGATGACCAAGCCAGCGGGTATGTATTTGTAGGGAGAGGCTGAAAATAACTGCAATAAGGCCAATTATCTTTGAATTGAATTCAACAAATAGACTCCAAATTTAGCATCTCCCCCTTTTCATTTATCTGACTTCTATGATGGGGACAGGATTTGTGTTGCGATTTCCCCCCTAGCCATCCCCACCTCACTTTAACCTAAGCTGTCATATGACTGTCGCATTTCCTTACTGCAGTTCCTAGTCCCACTAAGATGCTCCCCTGAGTCCCTAATCACTCTGAGAGGTGGCTTTTCTACTTACGGAGCCCTCCTGCCGACAGACCCTTCTTGTGGACTCTGCTCTTCTGTGACTGGTGGCTGAAGTGTGGTACTAAGTCCAAAGCCAGCACTCCTCACTGGCTAATATTCCACCTGCTGACACTTACAAGGGCAGGACTCCTGTTGGGCAGCACTGCTGAATTATTCGGGCTTTTGGTTTTCTGAGTAACAAAGAGTCCCGAGAAATGTTTAGAGATGAGTGCTGCTCAGACTTTCCATTATTGGCCCTCAATTTACTTTTGTTTTGTTAAAAAAAAAATCTTTACGTGAAAGTATTGGAAAGTAGTTATAATTACCATAATGATATGGACATTACTCTACGGCTATGATGATATCATTGACTTATTGTCTCATCTAATCCAGTATGCGTCTTTGTGTATGTGTGTACAGTTTTATGTTAGATATCGTTATGTAGCATCTGTCAAAGAAAGACACAATCAACAGTGTTAGGCAGAGTCAGGGCCCCTTGAATACGTCCGTCCATCACCTAACCTTCGAGACCCATGACTATATTGTCTTACATGGCAAAGGGTCTTTGCATATATAGTCAATTGAAGGATCTTAAGATGAAGAAATTACTTTGGATGATTCGAATGGCCCAATGTAATCACAAGAACCTTTATTAAGGGAGGTTCAAATATCAGAGACAGAGAGGGATTTTTCATGATGAGGGAAGCAGAGATCAGTGTGAGGGAGCCATGAGCCAAGGGATGAAAATCCAGAAGCTGGAAAAGAGAAGGAATGGATTATCCCTTAGACCTTCCAGAGGGGACACCACCCTGCTAACATCTTTCTTTTAAGATCTGTGTCAGACTTTTGACCTCGAGAGCTATAAAATAATACATTTGTGGTATATTTAAGCCATATGGCGGGGGGTTCGGTTTGCTATAGCAGTGACAAGAAACTGAGACACCAAGCTAAATCTGTTTTGACTTTTTCTTACTTTGTCCCCAGCCTCATTTCTTTCCCTGTGCAGGAGATGTGTGGTTGAGTGGCCGAATAGGAAGAAGAAAGAGATCCTGGGAACCAGAACAGCTGAGGGTCATTAGTGTGTGTCTGGGGCCAGCACAGGCAGAGTGGGAAGGTGTGGGTGGAGCCTCTGGCCAGCTATGTGGGCTATTAGGACCAAGGCAACTTGGATGGAACAGTTTGCAGGGAATTCTGCTTTGTTTGGATTTGGTTCTGTGCAATCCCCCTCATAAGGGATTTGAATCCTTTTCACACATTATAACCAGGCCAAGTCAACTGGAGCTTTAAATAGTAAATTATTCCACTCTGGAGAAATACTAATTTTCATAAGGAAAGTCCCTTCAAACGCAATTAAAGAGTTATTTTCAGTCTTTCCATTTCTTGCTTCTCCATTGATCAAGTGACTTCTATCAGTACAGCACAGTGTCTGAGCATATTACTATCTTTCTTTTATTAACAAAAAAAGGTAGTACAAGATCCCAATAATGAATGTAACTGTACTGTATACCTAAAATGTACCAATAAACTCAATTAAAAAAAAACAAAAAGAGGTAGGGGAAATATATAATCTGCAAGGTAATTTATAGTAGTACAACTAAAAGCACGATACTGCTATGGTAATGATTTGTTAAAAAGTGCCATATGTGGAAGCAAGAAAAAAGGGCTAGTTTATGGTTTGGGAGGAATTTATAGTTTTACAGTTCTCATTTCTGTTTTCTGTCATTACGAGTTATCTTTCATAAAGGAAAGTATTTTACTGAAACAAAAGCCCTTGCCATTCCTTGGATAGACCCAGGGCTGTGTGGCTCCTGCTTTGCCTGCATGGGCTTTGGTTTCTTCATCTGGAAAATGAGGAAATGGTGCTGGATGAGATCCCTGATTTTTCACAGTCTGGTTTTCTAAGATTCCAAGAAACCATTTTATTTCCAAGAGAGAACGGTGAGATAGAGAGTGCTGCGGAATTCTGGAGGTGATTTTCCGTATAATGGTCCTTCAGGAGTGAGTTGCAGAGACAGGCAGCACCCTCATGCCAGCAGACCACCAGTTGGTTGGTTAGCG